GTTTCTCCGACGAGGTCTCGACTGACAATAATGCTGACAATGGACGTTAGATAAACACGCATTGTTTGCAACTGGAAGCTTATCTCCCGTTATATCAGAATCGTCAACAACAGAGTATACAGATAAGATGTTATCATTTAAACCCTTTCAAAGATAAACATTATGCAAATATCCACGAAACGCCAGTTGCAGTCTTTTCTGCTAGTGTTTTAAAACACTAATTTGAGCAACGTTATTTTGATCTTTTGTAAACCTGGGGTGATGTATCAAGGTCTAAAGTAACCGTTTTATCAATTTTTGAAAAATCAAGAAAAAAGTGAAAATTTCCCTCTCTTGCTACCTTAAGCAATAACATGAATTCTTGAAACCTGAGACCAGGAAGTAACAAATGACAATGACTGAAGTATATTTGCACTTGTATATATAAAAACATCAAGAATTCTTTTAAATAATTTGTTTTTAGACTTAAAATTGAAGGCAAATGAAGTTGCTCCTGCGATGTGTTTATTCAAATAACATATTTTTTCTTATCTCAAATGTCCAGCAATAAGTTTTACTGAATGTTACGCGGAGAAAATGGCCATGGTGCGCATTATTCAAAGTAGTGATGTGAGGTGAAAGTCATGTTAATAATATTGTCTTATGAGTGTTCAATTTGAACAATACAATCATTGTTCAATGGTACGATTTCTATTACAGCGATACAAGAATTTCAAACAATTATTTGCATGAAAATAATATAATAATTCTAACTAAAAGTTTTTTTGTTTTATTGTTTTGTTTTTGCCAGGAGACAGTTCTGGACATTGACTGTCACGGTTGTCTTTCTTGACTTTTTTTCTGTATGTGCAAATTGCAAGTGCTAGTGACGACACATAGTGCATTTTGCCACAGAAGTCATATTCATGTTTGGGACTACATGACAGGGCTGTGTGGCCATCTCTCTGTCAAATGGCAATTTGTAATGCGCTATCCTGGTGTCAACCAGGCTCTGTCGAACACAAGCACCTGCGGACCTTAACTAAGGTTCCCCCAAAGTCGCATTCGTTAGTGAATGAATCTCGGCCAGTTGAATTGGCCTGCCCATTGAGTCTGTGGCACACTCACCCAGGGTAGGGGTCAACCCTTTGATGTTCAGCCTAAGGTAGGATTTGAACTTGGGTCTACCGATCATGAGTCTGGTGCAACAACCACTATGCTACCAGTGACTAAAATTTAACCAACTTCCAAAAAAATATCACTAAGAATGGCAATATTATATATTATTATACATCTGTCACGAGTACAGCATGCAGTAATTTTACAGGGTATTTTCATCCTACCATAGTAGGAAATGCGAACTCAAAATATGGAATGATTACACACGTAAGCGTCCTCAAATAATAAAAACAAACATGGCTGTCACCAGGGTTTGATCGAACTCCGCACAAAGAAGTTCACTGATTCTGTTCTAAACTATTTGGATTTCAGAATTCCCATGATGTATCTTTGGAAGGACAGTACGCCACTCATCGACCTCCGCATATGTATACTTTGAGGTATTCTTGTAATAACCTCATATTATCTCCACATGTACAGACTCGTTGCAACAATTGAACACATTTTCGAACTGGATCGTGTTAGCGCCCATGCCCAGTAAAGCGCTCACCCCCCACTTTTGCGCAATTTTTATATTCGGGGTCACATTTGGCAAAAAGCTCACCCCTCCAAAATGCCACTAATTTAAAACTTGGTCTTTGATCTTTGCTTAATGAATACTGGTAATCGCTTTTATATGAAACAGTGTGGATTAACTGTCGTGAATACGTTGTGAATGCGACGACAACAGTAACCATGCGTAAACTATGATTCGACAATGACCTGTTAAGTAAAATGCGGTAAATATCTCATGCCATATCCAGTTTACCTATCAAAAAATGCTAGTTACCAGTTTTTTGAAAAAACCATGCCATTTATTCGCCAAAATCAATTCCAACAGATCTGCGTTGGTACAACACAGCATTCTGATTGTTAATAAGACGTTGTTGCAGGTCAAATCACGAGTTTGTGTACGATCCAACACATTCGGCAGTGAAGATAATGATGATGATTGTGACTTTGACTGTGTTCCAACAGACTATAATATTTTTAACCTCATAAATTTGATTTTCTGAATTGAGGACACTGGGCGCTAATGCAGTCCAGCTCGGTATCTACACAGGTGTTTACATAGTACAAGAAACAGACTCATTGCAACATTTGAACACATTACCTCCAATCATTATCCTATCCGGTACTTGCATACCCGATGCTGACGTACTCGTGTGCGTAAAGAAGTCAACATCACCACCTTCATCTCCAGTCATGCTAATTTTATCTGGTATCTGCATTTGACTGTTGATGTCCTCAGAAAACTTGGTGCTATAGGAAAACCTCTTCAGATCTTCCATTTCTTTTTCCATATCAGTCACACTATAAGACGATTGCATAGAATGTTCATGGTCATCCATGTTTGTTCACAGCGCAATAGGTATTTAATATTATGCTCCTGTAGCAAGAAAACATTATCATCAAATTATGTTGTGACATACTAGTAATAGTTTAGAATCTACGCAGCATTCGCAACTATAGGTTGTGACATCTAGTCAGTAAATGTGTGTGACGATAAATTACATTGTCTGAAAATATGCATTGATGTTGTGAATAATGAGAAAAACTTTCTGGGCTGAAGTTTTTAAAAATATTTACACAGATCGACACATGTGGAGATGAAGCGTGTCAAAGTCAAAATCCTAAACCATGCTCTGGTTACAGTCGCTTGTTACCTATGATAAAACGGTGTATTATTAATCCAATGTGTGTAAACTAAACCACTTTCCCGTACCAAAAAGAATATACAGCTCGAGTGGGGGTGGGGTGTCCAGTTAAGAGATGTACTGGTAAAATTAAGAATATATCGTTTTGGTCACATGTACTGTAGATGTAATGCCATGGGAGTTCATCACCAATACCTACTCGGCTCACTCAGGCCAATATTAACTGTCGGCTGCCGACTAGTTAATGGATTCTAAATGCACAGTTCACTTATGATTTTGATCGTAGTTTAAAATGGCGATAGTGGTCGTTAAGTAACTTCAAATATAAGAATTTGAGGTACGGTAAATAAAATAAATCTTCAAACAGGTTGACATGTGACTTGATCCGCTACATTTGAATGTACTGCATGATACACCACGTACAAAATAAAACTAAATCTTAATACTGAAAGTTGTAGTTTTGCAGTATCGCAACCCCTTACCTGCTGTGTATAGTAGAATTAACCAAAATAACGTAACAATAAAGAAACCCGGTCAGTTTAGCAATCGGCCGGCCATATTGAATCATCAGCTGTAATGTGACGTCATTGCCTCCGTTTAGATTTCCCCGGCCAAACACTGGTGGCGTAAATAGCGTCAATACTCCGTCCGAAAAACTGCTTAGAGATGTCAGACACATATATAAAAGCGGGAGAGTTGTTTTAAAGCGATTTTTTTTATTTTATTTTAGTACTCATTAACTTTAAGGCGATAAAATTTCACATTTTGTCTAATGAGATAATAGAACAGAACATTTTTCGCTCTCAACGTTTATTCTGTGAATATTTCTGTTTTTTTTTATTTGAACTGCTTTTTTGCAGTTAAAATAATCACAGCTTTTATAAAAAAATAAATATATATAGTATATTTGAGCAATTTACTATGCCCTTAGATTCAACTGTGCTCCATTGACCCTGAATTTGCATACTGTAGAGCTCGTGAATAATATATAATTTTAAGGAATTCATTATTATCTGCAGCTGGGGGGTACTAGTAAAAAACAGGGACATTCTATTTTGAAATTGAATAGGGGGTGGCCTTTTTTCCATAGCCTTGGGGGGGGGGGTCAATCAATTTTGTTGTGTGCAAAAAATATTTACAGATTATTGTACATTTTTTATTGCACAAAAACATTGAAGTTTACAACTTTCTTTCAAAATTTCAAACTTTTATTTTTCCACAAAATGTAAAGTTTATTGTATTTGTTTAATTATTAATAAATAATCAATGCTTGCACTCAAATAGTTTTCTTCTTAGAATAATTCAACTCCTCATAATGTATAATATCAAAGAAGGTTGCGAAAAATGAATATGGTATATATGAAATACAATTTATTATTAAAGTCGTCCCCTGCGCAT